GCATGCTGCTGGGGCTATGAGGGCTGAGCGCAGATGCTGCGGTAAGTGCCACTGGCCACCCCCCCATCTCCCGGGGCTCTGCTCCAGGCACCGGGGGCTCCTTCCCCCCTCAGCGTTGTCTCGTATTTATAACCCGGGTCACCCAAAACCGCCGGGACGGGCGCTTTGGGGAGCTTTCGGCTGCTTAAAAATAGGCGCGTTGCTGCTCCTTGGCCCCCCCGCTCTCCTGGCCACGGTGATGAGCTGCATCGCAACACCCCCTCCAGTGCTGCCACTCTCCGAAACGCGCAGCGCGCAGGGCAGTGGTGGGGCGCGACAGAGCGAACTGGGGAGGGGTGATGGCCCTGCATTCGGGTGTCTTCAGGTGGCCTGATCTCTCTCTCTCTCTCTCTCTCTCTCTGTGTGTGTGTGTGTGTGTGTGTGTGTGTGTGTGTGAGTGTGAGTGGGGGGGGGATGTCGTTCTAGATCCCAGCAGCCATCCGCCCCGGGGTAGCTGTGATGAGCCACACACAGGCAGGCGGTGTGTTCTCTCACGCTCCACATGAGACCCTTGCTCCCCTCGCGCTCTCTTGCAAGTTGAACTGGCAACCTGGGAGGGGAGCCTGTGTTTGTGAGAGAGAAAGAGGCAGTTGACCCCGGAGGCTGTGTCTGCGCTTCAGCTTCGCTCTTAACCTAGCACAAACGTGGCGGGAGGCTGGCTTCCCAGGGAAGTGGGTGAGAGATGTGATGTCATCTAAAAACACCGGTGCTGGCACGGGGCCTATTGAAGCGCAGGGCCCTGGGCAGCCGCCCCGCTCACCCTGCCCTCTACCAGTGTAGACAGCTGGCAGGTTTTTCCGGAAAAGCGGCTGATTTTCCAGAAAAACTGGCTAGTTAGACAGCCATTGTGTTAGTGTAGGAAACATACAGTAACGTGGTGCAAATACTTCGTGTTAGGCATTAAATGCATGATCTTATTTAAAAAGCTGGGAAGCTGACTGACCCTATGCCTTAGTGTTGGTTGGCACGCATAATTGCCAAATCCAGGTTGGATTCCTGGGAGAGAGACTGACCAGTGCCATTCAGTGCCTTCCATACTGGCTGAGTGTGGACTGGGGTAGGCATTGCCGTTCACTCTCTGCAAAGTCAAAGAAGAAGCCTCTAAGGCAGGGCCTTAAAGTGCAAGGAGGAGGGGAAATCTTCTTGCTAAAATGACAACATAAGTGTAACCCCCAAGGAGATTGCTTGGATTCCCGGGGCCTTGTCTGCTGGCAGCTCAGGGAGAGGCTCTGAGTTTGCCTTGTCTCCCCCTCCCTACCAGGGCCAGAGTCTGCCAGCAACCCACGGGGAGTGAGATGCCCCTCCCAGGGGGAAGGAGAGACCATTGTTGGGGGAGTCTGGAGCCAGCAGGGCAAGGGGAGGCTGGCTGTGTGGGAGCTAGTAAGCCCCAGGCCTGCATGCAGGGTCCCCCTGAGAACTGGCCTCTAGGGACCTGAAGGCAGGATCCCTCCGCTGGGTTTGTGTCTCCCCTGTTGATTCCAGTTGTGGAGTTTGCTGGGAGGTTTCCCCCGCCAGGCTGAGTTGGCTCCGGCTCCCCAGGTGAGACCAGTCACCGCATGGTCAGCTCTGCTCTAGCAGCCAGTTCAGGGCTGCTGCCTGCTGGGTGGGTCTGCATGCTGGGGGGGAGGCTGTAGTTTGAATTGTGGTGCAGTTGTGGGGTCTGCATCTTGAGCCCTGCACCCCTCCGCGGGGAGGGGAAATCCTGGGACCGAAGCAGCCTGGTTCCTGCCTGAAGAGGACCCCTGTGAGAAGAGAGCAGCCCTTTGCAGAGACGAGTCATCTCTCAGCCTGAGGTCATTCGTGGAGTGTGTGAGTGCACCAGTTTTTAGTTAGTAAGTCAGGGAATTTGTTTGGGGATTTTATTACCTGCAGCATATTAAACTGTGGAGGGATTTACTGCCTTCTCCCATTTGTGAGTCCTTTGGGCTGTACTGGACCTAGTCAGCTCCACTGCTAAACCACTGCAGAGAAGGATTGTGTGGTCAACAGTCATCAAGGGCCCCAACAAAGTACGCGTACCAACGGGACACTAACCTCACAGTTGCTGGGCACCGGTGACCCTAAAAATAGTGTTTTACCCTGTTCTGTTATAACTGTCTCCTGTTTAATATAATTGTGTTTATTATAGTGTATGTGTTTGTTATTTTCTGGGAGTCTCCAACTATCTGGCAAATATGTGGGGATTATCCTGGGCTAGAATTTTCCTCCCAAGCTGCCCTGGTGACCCTGCTAGGAAGGAGTGAGGGGGGTGGAGGCACCGCCAAGTACATCAATCAGAAAGAATAAAATTGAGTGGGTGGCGGGATCCAGAAGAACCCAGACCTATCCATCCAAACCTGAAAGGAGATTGGCTTTAAAAGAAGGTAACCAGGTGGAGAGGGGGCGCTACATAAGGGAGGAAGGGTTTCCTGATCAGTTAGCCTTCCGTAGAAGCATTTTCTTCCTTGTGAGGCCACTAAGGGATATAATTTGGTAAAATTGACTTACTTGGAGTAGTTTATTATCACTTTTCTGAGCTGCTGCTGGCATTACATATTTTCCCTTATATGTAACAGATGGGTTAATGGATTTGCTATTCAGGAGTGGGTCCTACTCATCTTGGCTAGCAGGTTGTTGTACCAGGTTGGAGATGTTTGATGCAGATTGGACCCTAACGAGGCATACTTTAATAAATCCAAATCAGCATCTTGAATTGCACTCAGAACAAATTGGTTAATTATTTTTTCCTCTCTCTCTGTGGTACCTGTATTTTTCTCACCTCAGGGTAGTTTAGCAGCAACTTGCAATTGTTAAAAACACTGAATAGCCTAATTGTTATAAAGTGATTTTTGTTTCTGGAGCAAACATGTAAGATACATGTACATTTTAAATAAAAAAATGTTGTAGAAAAGCTAAAGACATAAAACTAAGGTGGTGTTTTTTGTATGGATTTGCCCTTGAAGGCAGTACAATTTATGATGATTATAATGGGTTTAATGGGAGAAAAGTTCTGTAGCTGTGGACTAGCCATCCCAATTGTTCTGATTTCTTCTGTCATGAGTTCCAAGCCTATCACTTTAATTTCTACTATTCTTGAAGAATGCCTTCAAGTTCCTGTGGAGGGTAGGTGTAATACTAGTTAAATTAGGTCAATTATAACATAGCAAGTCCTTTAAAACAGAGAGGGTTCTAACTAGACCTACACAGAGGACAAAAGTTCCATTTCTTGAAGAATACTGAGATTTTGAAATGTGTCTTTGTTTGATTTGGAGCACAACCTGAAGATGTACAGATTTTCCTTGAAGGAAAAGTCTGGGGCTAAACCTTTCACTGAAAATAAATCAAAA